TCTTCCCCATCTTATTTATCTTCAATTGTTTCTTCCGACGAAGGCACTTATTCGGTTTCGGGTCCCTCCAATTTTTCTCTGAATAATCTTATTACTAACCGACACATGCCTTTATGGCATAACTTCTCCAAAAAAGAAGAAGTATTATTTACCAAAAGCCCCAAATTAACAGAAATGTTTCGGAAACAACCCCACCTATTAGACCACACTACTTTCCAATTTTATCTTTTTAACAAGATTGAGATGAGTGCTAATGCTCGGTATTTAGGCCTAGTGCAAAAATGTGGAAATTGTCAAAAGTTCATCGAAAACAAAACCGACTCTTGCCAATGTGAACCCGAGCAGCAGCAGTTCCAGTTCGTTTTGCCTTACAAACTTTATCTTAACTTTGCTCCTGGTAATTTGTATTATCGATGAGAATTCCAACATATAGCCGTTAAGTGTGAAGTTAGCACCGAAGCTACTTTTGAAGATTATGAAAATCCTCTTCGTTATATGTCTTATGTCAAAGTTAAAGGTTCAATTCTGGCCGTGGCAGGAGAAATTGATTTTCACCTCGAACAACTAAACAACCGAGAAAAAACCCACATCGGAGAAGCTCCTACCGAACAAGAAGCCCAAACCGAAAGAATGTTTAAAAGCACTTTTCGGCAATTTTTAGATAAAAGTATTGAGCCGAGCATGTTTAATGCTAACACTATCGACCATCATTACAGCCTGGGAGAGTTTTTTAATCGGCTGACTGAGCCCATATTTTTTTATCGAGTGGAACACAGTGAATTATTAGCCAATCGGCTTAATTGAGCCAATAACAAGGCTAAATTGGCTGCTAATGGCTTATCCGTTCAATGGCACAAATACGGCAATTTTGGCACGAAACAGGGTTATTGACGATGAAGAGAGGTTTATTTGGAGAGTGATGTTAATAATTTTTTTACTAATTTAATGCAGAAAGGTTTTTGACTAACGGGAGGAGAAAAGTTCGAACAACCCGATTTCAAATATGAAAAAGCCCCTAATTACTTAGAATTAGGCTCGAATGCTTGGGATATCACCGAAGCCGAAATCATAGAAATCGAAGAACATTACGAAGGCCAAGAAAACACGGGAGGGGATACGGTAATTCCGGCAAGCACCTCCGTTTTTATTAAAAAAATTAGCCGAGTGGAGAACGAAGCCACAGGCATTAATTATTTAGAGCAAGCCATTAAAGCCTTGCCGTCGGATGCTCTTAAAAAGTCTGCTAGTGATAAATACTGATATTTCTGGCATAATAAAGATTACACGACTACAATTGATATTCCCGAAGGTATTTATACCCAACAAATAATCGGCTTTAATAGTTCAGGTAGTTTAGACACAGGACAAAAA